TAATATTTCAAATAATCACTGGATTAACCCCGGTGAATTAGAAGAAGATACTCTGAAAATTAAAGTTTCGTTTGCGACGCACGACTCAAAATAGCAGGACATTGTACTGAATCTACTCCCGCTGACCGGAATCGAACTTACGTAATTTAATCAGTTAAAGCTTTAGAAACATTCCTCTCTGGGAAAAAGGGACTCCACGGAGAAATTCGCTAGTCAAATTGCCAAGAATTTACGGGATTCAGTTTTAGTCCGAGACCCAACTAATTAATTTTGGAACACTCAAGTAGGTCTTTGACTTCGCAAACGGCACCTTATACAATTTGGCCCAGAAAGAAATACCCAACAAAAAAGACCTTTGGTGTAAAAAAAAAGACGCATTCATAACCTAGTGTTGTTTCACCTTCAAAAAACTACGAACATTCCTAGAAATAATTAGCTGTCATTGCCCCCTCTATTCGAAAAAACTATAACACATCTTCAGAAGTTACAATAGTAATAATGTTACTTTTACAAAAAAAAAAAGGAAAAAATTGTTATTCATATCCAACCCTCTAAAGTTATGAAATCAAGTGTTGCTGAGCAGTTTAGAACATTTTAACGGGTGCATCGATGGCCTCTTAAGATAATGAAATCAATTACCGCTAAACAAGCACAGACAAAGCTCGATTAATAATCGTTTCTATAATTTTGAATTGTTAATATTGTGACGGGTATCTCGTCCGTGGGATATCCTGTTCACAAAAAGGGCACTGGACTGGGAGAGTTAGGACCCTTTGGTCTCCCAGCGTCCCTGAACTCTACCTCCGCCCTCGCTCGAACCCATCCTTGAGCACTAATTCTGACTATAATACCGGTTGTGCGCTAGGCGTCCCAAGACGCTAAATCTTAAAGGCCCACCGACCTCCTTTTCCTAAGGACTTGGACTCTCCCCACGAGAGTGGTGTCGCAAGACGAAGACGAAAGGTTATCCCCGACTTCTAAGAGGCCCGTCCCCCGAGAAGACTCCTGAAATTTAACAGCGGTCAAAAAAGGTTCCGCGAGCCTGGACGAAGTGCCAATAATTATAAAAATAGGGATTCGAAGGTGAGGTGAGGTCCGGGATGTCGCAGGTGGACTCCTCCCCGCGGGCAAACCACTTCCCGTCGCGAGAACGAACTGAGGCCGTGCCCCCGCAGGTCCGGGGGGAGGACAGGTGCCATCCTAGGGGTGACGGAAGCAGTCCTCGGAAAGTGATGTCAGGTATTCACCTGTGGTACCCCGTAGTCGCCTCTCGCCTCGAAGTCTCGTCGGCCCAGGATGTTTGTTGTGGATCATCCCACGACGATCGAGCGCTGTGCGGTCCGAGCCGGGTCGTCATTCGTTCTTGCTAATTTTCGCGACAAAGCTTAGAAATGTTACGAATTGATTTTATCTAACGAAATGGAGCCTAAGCCCAAATTACGGTGGCCTCTCGCTGAAAGAATAACGTCACATAAAATTAATGATGAGGTATTTAATAGGTAGGAGGGGCGGAATTAATCCGACTCAAGGTACATCGCAGATATTTAAAATTTCTGCTTTTCGATTAAAATATCGGGACTCGAGTTGAATGAACTCGTCCGACCTTAAAGGGAATAGGGCTCGGCCTAGCCTCTTAAAATGCGTCCTCGAGTTCGCATAACTTAGGGGAAAAAAAGAAAAGGTAAATTAAAGTACCTGATTACTAGACAAAATCATAAAATCAAGTATATTCTTCTTCAAGTAGATGCTTCTAGAAGACCTCCAACCCTAGGGCATGCCACGGGCCGAAGATGCTCACGCGAAGTCATCCGGCTGGGTCGATTAAGGGAGAGTGTCACTGAATTTGGTCGCTTCTCAAGCTAGGTAAAGGATCCTTTGCAAACTCAACTCATCTTCATTTCATTTTAATCTTACTTTATTAATCCCATCTCCGATCCAATCGAATACTAACCACTGTCGCGACTTCCATGCCTAGCTCCGTTTACCCGAGTAGAATAAGATTGTATTAATTTCCGCCTCCAACAGCTAAGCTCCATATCTCAGCATAGCGAGATAAGTTAGTTAGACTCACGCGGAGTTCGCCATTTAACCGTTTTAGTGCCAGGGGTTTTTCAAAATCCGTGTCGGATTGTGCTATGAAGCGCGAGAGCGTTACGAATTGACGATCGAGACCAAACATCGCGACACAGTTCGCCACAGTACGCGAAAAGCGCGATCGCGCTGCGTGACTAAAACGGTTAAGCAGCGAAGAATCCCCGCGTCAGCACTCCGGGTGTTCAGCGACCTACCTCCGCTAAAGCGCGCTATCGCGACAACCGAACCGTCGCGACGCGGAAGTAAAACTACGTAGAGAAAACTAAATCGACACTTTGACTGTCTCTTGCAGTTGATTGTACGAACCGTTATTGACTGACAAATACAATAGTGCTATCATATTTGATTACATTGCCATTCATTAAGACCCTCCTCAGGTCCTGATTTCCCGCAGATCCCACCAGGGGAGTTGATCTAGCCGCTCGGGTCATCCCCGCACAAAAATAATAAGTTCGTTACGCGAGAATTCCAGATAATCGCTACCCGAATTTCCCCGGCCTCGCGTTCGCTCGGTCGCCACGTAACAACGGTGAATAAAGTATGAAAAATATCCAACAATGTATCTTAGTGTAATGTTTTCATAGTCCATCATTTTTCTTTATTTATTGCCTCCACTCGATTGTATAAGTGATCTTTATTCTGAACCATTTAAGGGGTTGCTAACCGCAGTACCGAACTTGTCGGGTCCCTCACATAAATTAGTGAATCAACGGTGAAAATACATATTTCGTGTGCGCATAATTACACACTTGTTACGACGTATTATTTATACTAAAAAATGTCGATATTTTTATGCATAGATAATCTTATGATTTTTGTGTATCTATCGATGAAGACTGCTACAAAAAGTAATGAAATCTAAACGTAATGGGCGCGTGGAGCAGATTAATTGCATATTATTTCGCAGCTGTAATCGAAACAGAGCATGTGAAACATTCGTTGTTAACATATTATATATTAACAATTCAAAATTATAGAAATGATTATAAATCGGTTCGGGTATCACGATACCGTGCTTAGTGACAGTAGGTCGCTAAATGTGAGGAGTGCTGACGCTGAGAGTCTTTGCTACTTGACTACTCTACTTGACGGACTACGCGTAAATCTGATCTATTTCGCGATGCTAAGATTTCGTGCTGAGTTGTTTGAAGAGGTTAAAAATCTTATTCTATCCGGGTAATCGGAGCTAAGCATGGAATTTGCGACGATGTCAATGTTCGATTCGATTGGGGATGGGGTTAATGAAATGAGATTAAAATGAAAATGAAAATTGGCCGAGCTTGCGAAAGATCCTATACCTAGCTTGAGAAGCGACCAAATTCGGTGACACTTTCCCTTAATCGACCCAGCCGGATGACTTCGCGTGAGCACCTTTGGCCCGTGGCATGCCCTAGGGTTGGAGGTCTTCTAGAAGCCTCCTTTCCAACGGAAGTCACAGTGCCGCCGTCTCTTCCTGACTTAGTGCGCTTGGATCGCTGGAGTACCGGATAACACTACTGCAGCTCGTGGTACAGGTGACCTTCAGCAGGGAGTCCGGGGGTCTCGGTCTCTGACTCGCTAGGAACGGAGTACCGAAGGCCACGAGCTCTACTCAGGATCGATGACTAACGTCGGTGTTGATTAACTACTGGCAAAAGGCACTGCTAATTTGCAGGTTATGGGTTTTATTGGCAGCGTGTTCCGATGGATGGGAGGACCGAGGTGAGAATGGCGTTTCTGGGGTGTGCTGATGCGGTGTATAGTCATGAGATTGCTAGCTTCGGATCGATCGATGACTTTCGGGTTCGTTTTGGCCGATGAACTTATCATTCCAGATAGCTTGACGCCGTATCTTTCGCAAGTGCTTCCATATCGCCAGTACTCGGATTTCAATGGCTAGCTTCCGGTGATCGGAGTACGATTTTTACTAGATTCGCGGGTATAAGGGGTGCATACGTAACAGTACATTGCTCGCGCTGCGCTTGTCGGAGCTGGGTACCGCGCTGTGGGACCACGAATGATAATGCACTTTAATCATAGCAGACGTGAACTGTCAGTAATTTTCACATCTGAGATATTAATAGTTATAAATACGAGGATACTAAACTTGCTGTAAAGACTAGGTAGCGCTCGCGCTTGCATGTGGCGACGCGCGCGCGCGCGCGTACATGTATGTATGCATTTATATTTGGCGCGAAATTTTATCGAGTTTCCAGATTCCACCCTCTTTCTCCTTTTAAAGGATTAATTATGCGATACCGTACATCGTGTATAAACATTTGGTACTTTCACGCATACTATTTTTTCACTAGACAAATATGTACTAAACTGGTATTTAAGTTAATATTGTATTTCGAATAATGTTCTTATATTTTTAGAAAATGCGACATTTTGGTATTCAACCATATTAATTTACCGATATTGTTCATATTTATGCGAAGCACAAATTAGAAATTGAACCAATATTGTATTTTATTTGCCGAATATTATATTGCAATATTCAAAAGCTATGAATATCCAATATTGTATCATAACAGTATACTATGTCTAACCATATTTGTCCTATACAGCATGAATGTCTTTAATTCAATATTCATTGAAACGCGAAATAATATATTGGCTTAATATTGGTTATCAATTGATAGTACTGTATCAAGATACAAATATTGAACCAATATTATACGATGCTATTACCAATTTTCATTACTACAGGGGATAATGGGTTTCTTTCTTCAATATGTTACCTATTACTTTTTTTTTTAACAAAGGCATCACTTTTGTAATCATCTGTTATTATAAAATTTTCATGTTTTATGAACGTATATAAAAGTGTGTTGCATTATGTTCTCTTAACCATGGAACTGAATCATATAAATGAAACGATTTTTATGATTTATGGACTATAGCGCCTTGCATTAATTTTTCAGAGAGACGAAACTTCCAACAGTTCGACACCAACAAAGCTTCTACCGATAGACCAAATAATTTCTCATATCGCTTCCGTGCCACTGGATAAGCAGCAAAGTGTCCAAACCCCTGATGGTCAGGCTGGAGCTGATAGTATATCTTCGGAGGCGTCCAGGCGTTCATCCACATCCACACAAAATACAGATACATTGACCCCTACCAATGTACCCAGCGATGTGACAGATACTCAGGAAAGCATTGTCTCTATCGCATCAGCCGACACAATTTTAGAAGCGACTCAACTTCCAGACGAAATTGTAGAGCCTTCCCCGAAGACCGTACAAGCTACTGTCATAAGTATCCAAAATGAAACACAGGAACCATGTGGTGAGTTTCCACTTGAAGCAAAGGGCGAAGCAACAACTTTCAGCAATAACGTTCCAGTGGCCCTTCAAACACCTCAACCTGAAGACTCAAGTAATCCGGTAATTTCTTTAAATGCATCGTCAAATGAAGTATCAAAAGCCCCTACTATTCCGGTGCGAAAAATATCCCGTTTCCTAGTGAGCCCTGTTATCGAGCAAAAACTTAGTACGGTTGAACAAGAGCAACAGAGTCATACTGAGTTAATAGAACGAACGAATATTACCACAAATGAGCAGTGGTGCCAACAAGTTTCGCAAACAGAATCAAATGTTGTAGAATCATTGGAAAAAGTAGAAGAACCCGAAATAAAGTTGACGGATAGTCAATCACACGAAGCGGTTAATAACGATATTATTCAAGTGTTGCATCAAATTGGCCCCGACCAGATAGAAGGCGGACAGCAGCCCTTGCAACAACAACAATATCATGCTCAGCAGGTTGCACAAACGTTACAAAATTTTCCTCAGAAGCAGGTCGAGGCACCGCAATTACACAAACCGATTCCTCAAACTTTAATTCATCCAGGATCGCTACCAACACAGCCCACCGCTCAGGTTCTCCCAACTGTTGTACCGGTCCCTCATGGTTTGTCACAACAGAAAGATGTATCGACACAGCAGACGCATCAAAGTGTATCAATTTCTCAAATGCCCTATCAAAACCCACTTCTAATGCAACATCATATTAATTTACAACAACAGCAAATCCCCATGCAACAAAAACCGCAGCTCATTCAGCAAGAACACGTTCAACTGAAAATGCAGGCTGTATGTCCAATTCAGCAAACGCAACAGCAACAACAATTCCTCCCGCAACAACAGCAATATGTGATGCTCTGTGGTTATGTACAGCAGTTACAACAAACAGATGTAGATGACAGAAATCGCAGAGTATCTAATATATCTACTACATCAAATGTATCTACTGATTCTCAAGTGTCGGAAATGTGTGGAACCTCCGAAGACAGGCGGCAATCTAGCACAGCATCGAATGTATTAATGCAGCAAGTGTTTACGCAGCAGGATTTTTCAAGTAGTGCCCTTAGTAGTCACGGAGCCACTGACTCTTCGTACTATCCAGCATCAGTACATCACAATTTAATTCAGCCACTTGGAAATGCCCCCATTTCTGTTTCAATTCCTGTTTCTGCTTCACCAAGCGTGGATGCAGCACCAAAGATAGCTGTGAAAACGAAGGAAATGTCTTCGACTTTGCCAGATCTTGCACAAAATTTAGCTAATATACTTTCCAACCCCAAGTCAAAATCTGTAACACCTCACTCACTACCGACACACGAATCATGTTTAAATCCTAATGTCCCTTCTACTCTTTTAGAGTACAAACCAATTTTACATTCTGAACAGTATTTTCAACCAATACAGCCAGAGATCTCTCAATTGCAGCTACAACAGCCGCTAACCCACTTGCAACATAACCTCTACAGCCAGCAGTCTTTACCACTTAGTGTGCAACAAACTGTTCAAAGTGCACATCAAAGTTTTCCGATACATCTACCACATAATATAGCTCAGCTTCAGCAACAGTCGCAAAATACTCAGCAGGTGTTACAGCTTGGAGTTCACCAACAAATCGATGCCGTGCAAAACCAAATTTTACAACAAAATCTCTCCGGGCTTCAACAACCAACCCAAATGCCTTTACATGGCCAATGGAGCATGTCTCATTATATGGCATCTGTTGATCAACACCTTTTGCACCATCCTCTATCAGTTCAGCCTGGTCAGCCTATATTTACTCAACATCAGGTTCAACATTTACCACCTGCACACCAACAACAGCAAACAGCTCAAGAAATACCCATCGAAGATGCTATGATACTTGACCAGCAACAACTGCAGCTTAAACTCATCGAACAACAGCAACTTGCGAAGTCATTGGATTCAGAACCCAATATTGAATGCACTCTTAGCAGGTATGTAAAACTATTAAATTTGTTATATTTATTATGTTAGTAAAATAATTTTGCAAATTTCTTCAGATTATATGTTTTCTACAGGTGAATTCAATTTTCCTGTTAAGATCGTACAATTGCTTTCTTTTCCATAACTCATCGTACTTGTCGTTATGTGTATGTTCTCTGCTCCTGGAACATAGCAGCAACTATTCATGCTTGCATGAAATTGCAAGGAAATTTTGATTCCTACAAAAAAACGTATGTGTTGCGACCGCGATTTCCCTATGGGGAGGTGACGGCGAATCGTCCCCTCCTCAATACGGGTGATTTATTCAGGTTCGTATTTCAGCAAATTCTTTTAAAGTATTCTTAATGTCAAAATTACTATTTTGAGTTAATTCAATCTTGCTTAAAATATATAAGCAATCTTTGTAAATCTCTTTATATTTTAACAAAGTCATTATAAATTGAAAATTGTATTCAATGGTATCTTTTGCTCTCTTACAAAATGTTCTTAAAATCTCCAGATACATTTTCAATCTAATATTTCAAATTCATTAAGTTCCTTATCTGAATAAGAATGAAATACAGTGATAACTATTGAGGTGATTTCGTCCTTAAAAGCAATATCATATGAAGCTATTCCTAAAAAACTACAGAAATCAATCTGAGGAATAATCTCTTATCATATATTTAGGTAGATAGGTTAGGTAGTTAGTTAGGTAGCTAGGTGGGTTAGGTAGGTTAGATAGATTAGGCAGGGTTAGGTTGGGTTAGGTGGGTAGGTAGGTAGCAGTTATTGTAGTGAGAGATATCTGATAATAAAACATGACGCTGGAATCGAGCACATAAAGCTGTCGAGGAGCGCTCCCCAGGGCTCCGTAATGGGACCCGTACTGTGAAACGCAATGTTCAATAAGCTATTAAAATTGGAGTTTCTTGAAGATGTGGTGATTTTTTGCTATGCTGATAACACGATCATATTGATCTCCGGCAGAGAAATATACAGCATAGAGGCGAAGATGAATTCTGCCCTAAGATTGGTAAACATGTGGCTCCAAAGGATAGGACTGAAAATTGCGGCGAGTAAAACTGAAGCCATCGTCTGTACCAGGAGACGTAACTTGGTACAACCGGCCATCTATATAAATGGGAAGTTGATTAAGACGCGGAACCAAATTAAGTACCTAGGAGTGCTTTTGGACTCCAAGTTAACTTTCGGACCGCATATCATGAAAACGGCGGGGAGGGCACTGGGGATGACGAATGCACTGTGAAGGATTATGCCGAATATATATGGACCAGGTTACCTTAAAAAAAGAATGCTGGCCCTGGTGGTGAAATCGATGGTCATATACGGGGCTCCAGCCTGGGTGGAGTGTTTAAAATTCGCCAGATATAAAAACGTTCTTTATAGGGTACATAGACTCCTGCCTATCAGAGTGGTGCAAGGATACCGCACCATATCTGCAGATGCGGCTGCGATATTAGCGAAACTCCCCCCATTGGATATTACAGCGAAGGAGAGGAGTAGGCTTTTTGCCCAGATCAGAGAGGGCGGACCCATTACAGCAGGACAATTGAGGTTTATGAGGGCGGAATCTAGATGCGCCACGTATAGACACTGGTAGGGAAGATAGGAACAACCTGGAAATACATGCTGGACGAAACTCCTGATCCCAAAGATCGAGACCTGGGTTGACGAACGAATGTTCAGCACTGGGTATTTTGTAACTCAAATGCTGACGGATGCTTTAGAACGTACCTGTATAGTAGGAAAAAAAAGCAGATAACCCAGAATGTCTGTTCTGCCAAGGGCTCAGTATATGGTGTAGCATACCCTTGTGCGATGTCAGAAGTGGTCTGGTTTTGCGAATCCTACCCTTGCAGGGGCAGGGGACGTGGTGGCCTTAGTGCGGATCTGCACGGAGAGTACGGAGAAGTGGAGAGAATTATGCAGGAGGGTTGTAGAGGTCTTGCATAATAAGGAGCGGGCGGAAACGATTGTTCGGGGAGGTGTCGGGGACGTGGATTGCGGTGCGGGGGGGAGACGGGGGATGAACAAGTCAGGACCCCCACCCCCTCTTCCTTTTCTCTTCTCCTGTTCCTCCCTCTTCTTTTTCTCTTCCCCTGTTCCTCCCTCTTCTTTTTCTCTTCTCCTGCCGCCCCCCCATCTCTCTCCTCTCTCCATCTTTCTTCCCTTCTCTTTTTTTCCTCTCTTTTTCTTTTCTTTCTTCTCTTCTACTTCTCTTCTTCTTCCTATTCAACTTTTCCTCCCTCTTCATCTTCTCCTTCCTCTCTTTCTTTTCTTCTTTCTCTTTTCTTCTTTCTTCCAAGTACTAGGGCTAGAGAATGATCAGGATAAAGCAGATTAGGATCTAACCTGACGACCCCCCCCCCAGCACCAGGTGTGGGCTAGGGGGACGAGTAGGGTTGCGGCTGTAGCCGGTCCCAAACCCGGTTGAGAAAGGCAATCTGACCTGAACCAACCTGACCTTGTACTGTGCTCTCCCTGCAAATCCGGGGCCGGATGGAATGCCGCATGGCGATTTTCCCGGCCCTGGAGTTGGCGCATCGGGAGGGCGGAGTGGAAGAAAAAAAGGTGGGTAGATAGGAAGGTAAGTTAGGTAGGTTAGGTAGGTTAGGTAGGTTAGGTAGGTTAGGTAGGTTAGGTAGGTTAGGTAGGTTAGGTAGGTTAGGTAGGTTAGGTAGGTTAGGTAGGTTAATGTTTGCCTGTAGAACTTTGATCTCCCCAGCCTTGGACGTGGGATCTCAGGGCGGAAGCCCTCCGAAGTACCAATAAAGTCAGAAAACTGATGCCCAATATTGGACGCCCGAGGGATGTCAAGAGGAGGGTACTTGCAAGGGTCGCAAAATTTACGGCGCCCCGGCATGGCACGTGGCTCTGAAACACCAAAAGTATCCGGACATGCTGGCCGGGATCCAGCGGATCCTGGCTATTAGGGTCGTGCAGGGATACAGAACCATCTCGGATGCAGCGGCCCTGGTTTTCACAAAACTACTCCCTTGGTATATTAAGGCTGTGGAGAGGGCTGAGCTATTTTGCGTGAAGAAAAATAGAGATAGCTGTGGAAAATGCCTGCGCACACCTTCGACCCCAGGGAAGGGCGGAGGTAGTGTGGGACTTGCACCCACTAAAAACCCCGCGCCTCACCCGGTTTTCAGGCCCTGTTCCTGGGAAGAGGAGAGGAGGGGACACAGTCCTTCCAAGAACTCCTCCCCCCCTTTTCCGCCTATGAACCGAGGGGCGCAACCACCCGCCCCCAGGCTCCCGCTCATGGTGGGGGGGGGGACTGTGTGCAATGGGTCCCCGGTCCCCCGACCTAGGGACCCTGCAGTTCCCCGCGCCCCGACTCCACCAGCCGCCCCAACCCCCGCCCGCCCTCAGAGGGAAGCGGGGGAGAACGGGCCGAAGGAGGAGTCCGGGACGCTTCGCCTGTGGGCCGGCGTGCGCCGGGCGGGACCTACTGCGTCGCTTCGCCGGCCCAGGCAACGCTGAGGAACCCGGACACAGCCAGATCCCGCACTCGGGCGCCGCCCCTTCGCGCGCTTGCCCCTAATGGAGCAGCACGCTGCGCATATCTTGCGAAATGCAAGGAAATACAAAACCCTATGGTTGCGAATTGGCGGTTGGACTGGAAGGCGTTTAATAAAGCGAGGTGGACGAGGTTAATAATTCCTGAGATAAAACCATGGCTGGACACGAGTTACCTCTACCTGAACTACTAAACCACACAGGCTATGATTGCGCATGAGTTTCGGTGAATATTTAACTCGTTGACTGCCACGCGCATTTTATTTGACTGGTATGTGACCCGAATATGGGTAACGTGGCAGCCAACGTGTTAAATCAAAGAGGTAAGACGGAAAATCCCCTGTGCCTGCACTGTGGGAATGCATCGGATACCGTTGACCATGCTCTTGCGCGATGCCCGAAATGGCAGGCGTGCATCGCTGTCCCACTAGGCTGTCGCCACGTCTGACAGTGCATGCGGCATTCAGGCACGATTAGCTAAAAAATGCGGTGTAACGTGGCAACATTTTTGCCAGTTACAAGGGGGTTTGAGACAAGAGCAAGGAGGAATCCCTCTGGCAATCACTGGCCTAACATTTATTTTGGTTACTTTAAAATGTGGAAATTATGCGGTAAACATTACTTATACACAGGAGCGGCGTGCGTCGCTGCGCATCAGCGTACCAATTCGGTTTACAGATTCCTGGAAAACGCGTGGGACCCCCATTTGGGGGCCCTGCTGCCATCGGCCAGCGGTCGCCCTAATTAGGCGGCCTTACTAGGCCGCCTAATTTTTTGGGTTACTACCCAATTTAACTAGGCGCGCGGCAGGACGAAGCACCAGGATTAAGCTTCGCTGGGACCACTAGGAGGACGACGGCGTTGGAAACGAAGACCTTCCGGCGAGACGGATATTGCCAGAGGGACCACCGTCGAGGCTGCCACATTCCGTCTTCCCGTGCAGCGAGGTCTACCGTCCCGTTTCCGTCAATAGCCATCTTCGCCGGTGCATCCCGAAGGGCGGCCTGCCATCGTAATCCCGAAGGGAGCCGTATCGACCCGTGGGGAGCCTCAGCACGGAGAGACACCGGTGAGCCCTAACTGGCCCAGGGGGCCTCCATCTCGTCGGTATTCGTGTTCCTGATTCCGCGTTTGCGCCGTGAGCCGATTCCCGCCTATTTTACGAACGATTTCAGATGTGCGTCCGTAGTAAGACGTACTTTCGCGATAGTTATCTGCTATATCCCCTTCCGTTAATTGCGTAAGACCGGATGCAGTTCCACTAGATCGCGGCCATTTCGTTCGACCACGAGAAAAGTTCCGTAGGGCCCGAATTTGTTAACGCGACGGGTTGTATCCCGCGTAGATTCCGGGACATGTTCGGGAGGAGACCCTCGCCCGCGCATCGCGTCTCTTATCGTGGATTTCGTTTTTCCCTCATTTATACCACCGTGTCGTGACTGCCGAAGGGCAGGATTGGGTGGACGAGGGGCGATAGTGTCGTATCGTGGGCTGGAACCAATATCTCTTCTGCGTAGATACCGGGTGGCGGGTCCTTGCCGAAACACTCAGGGGCTCGATATAGGTCCTCCCGACAGGGCGTTGTGCCCTTTTCGGGTTCTAAGTGTAGAGTCCGATTTCTGGCCGCGTATAAAACAATTTGTGACTTCTTTTCCTTGCTTTAGCTCCTTTCCTTCGAGCTTTGGGCATCTTCGTTGCCGCTTTGCGCCTAATTTCCGACTCCGCGTTAAAAGTACCGCAACTTGTCGCGCGCGTCCCGTGTATCCCGAATTATTCCTTTGATGAATAAACCTCCTGCAAAGGTAGTTTACTGAAATTTTGTGTTCTAACTTATTTTATTTGTACCCCTGTTCCGTGGACCACGTTCCCAACTCCTCCTTTCTCGTAGCGCGTCTCAATTGCCGAACTCCCCCAATTCTGTCGTGTCGTGAAGGTCGTGAGGTCCCCACGGAGCTGAGTGGCCGGTCAGGTACGCCCTAAAAGGTCCCGCTGTCCGGGCCGGGGCTACGTGCTCCGGCAACGGGGTCTTGGGGTTCCGTAGTGCGCATACATGCACCTAGCGCCCTTAATCAAGCGAAGTTTCGGAAAGGCCAAAATCCGAGCTTGACCCCTGCCATTTACCGTATCAGGGCGTACGACTGTTTACCGACCAGGAAGGGCGGAAGAAAGGAATCGAAGGAATTCTTATCGCAGTGGAAAACTATTAAATACTTCTTTGTCTTAGTATGCTAATTAATTATTAAATTAATTACCTACCACATTTTGAACCAATACTCGATTATTTGAATGTAATTATTCTATCCGTAAAAAAATGAAAACAGAATCCTTTAGTGGTATAATTCAGCAATAAACTATTGTCTCTCAACGTTTGTTTATCTTTCAATTAGTTGTTTATACCTCATCTCAAATTATTTATCTTTCCATTTTTATAAAATAAACAATTACATGAAATGTATGTTTTTCTATTTGAATTTTACCAGAATTTCTGGAATTTTTTTGTAGATGAAACCGATTAATGTATATTTTGTATCAAAATAATTGCTATTTGATTAACTCATAATCATAATCCTGGGGTACAACCAACCGTTAAATTTAAAATTATTAAAATAGGATCAAATTTATCTGAGTTTTCAGATCTGGTATGACCTAGTACCGGCGGCAATTTAGACACTTTGAGAGCCCTAACTCTCACATAATTTTGACGCCCCCATCTAAGTACAGGTAACCCTCCTATAACACGGTATCTTATAACACGGTTTCGCTATAACACGATTCGTAAATTGCGGGAACCCTCCTACAACACGGCATCCTATAACACGGTTTCGCTATAACGAGTCATTTTTCTTGAATACAGACCCTTCCACGGAAAGAAGTCGAAAATTCAAAAGGGAGTTGCAAAACTGTTTCTCTCCATACCGCGAAATTTACAATGACCTAGTAAAAGCCAGCAAGCAAAGTTCGATTACAGATTTTTTTAAGAGGGGAAAACATACAAAAACTTTAAATAGAGAAAAAAGTTCTGAAAGTGAAGGCGATATCGTTCCACCGAAAAAACGTTCTCGGTTGATTATACTGAGCAGTGACGACGAATAAATTCATTAAATTATGGTTGCGTTAGATTAAAGTATTTTTTTTACACTTTGTGTTGTACATACATTTATATTTTTAATAAAAATTAAGTTGTTTATGTCGAATTCAAAAAAAATATTTGTTTTTAATAAGTTTTTGGAACGTAACCCCCCTTTTTATACTAGCTCTGGGTCTCATGCAACACGGTTTCACACAACACGGCATTTTCTAGGAACCTAACTACCGTGTTATAGGAGGGTTACCTGTACTTTCTTTGTGTCCTTCACTACTTATTCTACAACTATTAGGAAGTAGCTCAAATTTCAGAAAATACAGGATATATCACCTCAAATCGAACAGTTGGAGATCTGCCTTTTATTTGAAGATATGTAAAAATGCTTTAGACAAAATTTGAAGAACATTATAGACCAAATTAAATGCAAGAATAAAAAACGTTCTAGTCATTACTTTTTCAGAGTTCTCAAATTCATCTATATTTTCTTGTAATAAAGCCATGTTCATTTTATTTCATACAATTAAGGTGATATGAAAGGCGCCGAGAAATTCAATCGGTGGAATAAAATTCGTGTATACCTTTTTGGATAGTAACGCCGTTTGGATACTCAAGTGGTAACATACGCTGGCTCCACACGTTGCCGACATTTATGTTTATGTTGACGTTTGATACACTCTATACCGGCAATTATACGAAATGAAGTATTGCATATGTTATTGAAGTAGAATGATCATAAAGAGATTAAAGTAAAATACAAGAAATTCCTTGGATCCGTGACTTTTGATACTCTAATTGACCAAACGACTATCACACTCAGCGACAACCAAATTTTCGCTGTAAAAGCAGTTACAGAGGACGCGTTGCTCGCAGGATGTCCCAGAATTTCACTTTACATATTTTTCAAACCTTTCCCGATGTTTCTCACATCGATATGTAATATTCGATTACTATAGTGTACTAAATCGTTCCGTCTATGTCCTGGAAGCCATAACTTCCAATTCTAAGCTTTTAAGAGGCATAACAAATTAAAAATACTCGTTGACAATGCAATTTTAGTTCTACTTTGGGATAAATAACAAACATTTGTATGAAAAATGAAATTTCATAAGTTTCAAGGCCTTCGTTAGGACCTCCTTAATCACATGCTAAAGTTTCAAATGATTCGATGCATCGAGTTCGGAGCAATGTTTTATAAATACTTTTGCGCCTTAGTGATCTCTTTCATTTGTTCTTACAGTGCTAATCGAGACTACCTGTAATAGCTTTCTTCGCTGATAACTCTTTCTTCAATTTAATAACAATTTTCTTCGTCAATTTTACAGACGGACAAGCTCAGATTGTCATTTGCTTTCATCAGAGAATGACAACTCTAGTCATGAGGGAACACCTGAACATACTGTAGTGGAATCGCTCGATTCCTCTATCTTCAGTCAGCATCACATTTTACAACAGCAACAGTATCAACATCGCAAACTTAGTCAACAAAATTCGTTGGATAAAGTGACTGACATTGGTAATGCTAATATTGCGGGACCACAAACAATAGCTGATTTGCAACAAAAGTTGGTGCAGCTAACTAGCCAACCTTCTGAATCGCTAAACATTGCGACGCCGCCAATAAGCCATCCTGCTACCCCACATAGTCATCAAAGTGCCGGCGGATATGATGCGTACATGCATTCTCTTCAGCAAAAATTAATTAACATTGGAATGCCAGTATCAACAACATGTCTGGTAAGATCGTACATTATTAAGGAATTAGTATTTATGTAGTTATAGTTCATTAAGAAGTTGCTTACTGATTTTCTATAATTAGTCCATGAGGAACGATAATGATTCATATCTTTTTCATTTTGTATCAGTGCGTGAAGTATAACAAATTAGGCCGACCGCAAGCATCAGGTCTGTAGGTGCGGCAGGCAGATTTGGTTACCGGTCTGCCTGTATGACACAAAAAGTTTTGTCCCGAACAATAATGCGTTATGCAGGGTGTAACAAAACTGGTAGACACGGTTTATACAGCACTATCCTTATTGAACTCGAAAGTGTGGGCCCGGTCCCCGGTTGCTCAGACTGTTCCCAGGGCTTACCGGTCCTCGGTTATCCTCATCGACTTCTGAGCGACGTGTGTCGCGGCTTAGCGTGGCTGATGGTGACAGTAAGATGATCCGCGTGGCTTGAACAATTAGCTTTTAATCTGATACAGAAGTCGGGCGAAGAAGAGCGGGTCGCGGCCCGCGACCCGTTTTGTACTCGTTCCCCCTCCTTCAGTTTGGCTGTTTCCGTGTTATCCCATTGGCCTATTTTGTATGTTCGTGGTCCAATTAGCTGTTTCGAAATTTCGGACGAAGGTCCTCGCCGGTGCGCTCCCGGGATGGTGCGCCGCCGGGGACCGGCTTGCTGCCAGCTCGCGCGCAGCGCGAGAATCGGGGCCATCACCTGTGCGGGTCTCCCTCCCCTCAGGCCGTTCAGCGGATTTCCCGCCGATGGTGATCGCTGAGAAAAGATTCGGAGGATTATCGGCCAAGTTATTTAGAGTTGAATCACCTGATGCCTTAACACACGTTGAGTTAATAGCTTTCTAAAGGGTAGCAGTTAAGTGTCTTGCGCCGATGCAAGTTCGAAAAGTATCGAGATATAGTGTCCCAAGTAGAACCTTTGAAATTCGTGCTGTCAGTAGATTTTGTTTAGATCGTGGCGTGAGCGTGTAAGATCGTGAAAAAACTGCGATGTGTCACTGCATGCGGGAAGTTGTTTCTGAGATTGGGTGCAAGAGTTAATTCCCTTTAGAGATTAGTAATCGAAACTGTCTATCATTGAGCATTACTTGGAGTTCGCGCTGTCTAAGTTAAGGCCCGTTCACGCGGGGTCCTTAGTTGAAGAGTCATACGGATTTGCAAGTACCAGCCGGCCCACGAGTTCCGCACGAGTTCGCACGTATTCAGTGTAAGGCTGTTAGAGGTTTTGTGACAGAACCACGTTCTCTGGACTGAGGACGGGAAGCTACCTTGACAATCCCTCTGTTTCGCTGTATGACGCGTGTCACAGTTAATTGCCCCGATCCGGTCCCGCGGTCCTGGCGAGGAATTAGGCTTTTGACGCGATACAAAGGGGAACACGGGTCGCAGTTAAGATGGGTCATTCGTTGCAGTGTATTTAAAAGGTGTCTATCCAATAACAATTTCTCCTCCTTTCTTCTCGGAAGGGTAAAGAAGTAATCGCTAATAGTTCCTCGTCGTCCACCTTTGTTTAAACGTTTAATTAGCGTTACGTACGCTGCAATGTGTTCAGATCGGGGACTGATAAGAAAGCGATCAGGTATGGTCGTGTCAAATTTGCGCAATACATTGTTATTTTGTAGTCCTCAACGTATGAAACTATTTGCGAACGGGATAACACGCACCTCGCAGGAATTCTAAAGAAATAATCGTTTAAAAATTTAGTTTATACTTCGTAAAGACATGGGTTATAACAACTCTCGAAGCGGCTGATATCCTAATGGATAAGGCACTGGATCTCGGATCGCCGGGGATGCTAGTTCGATCCTCGGTAGGTACCTTCATTTTTTTCATAAGCAACCGCATTTATCTTGCCAGATCCAAAAATGGGATGTTTGCGGTTGGTCTTAATGTGTTGTGAAAGGATATATATCGCCGTCGATAAAATAAAATTCATCTATATAATGGTAACGCCATTTTAGATACTCAAGTCCTAACATAAGCTAGCGTGCCATATTACCAACATTTATATTTATGTTGGCGTCTGCTGCATTCTACATAGAGAATTATGTGAAATGACATACTCCATATGTCATTTTAATACAATGATTATAAAGAGAACCACTTGAAACTCGAAAATTCCCCTGACTTCATTATCTTACAGGGTTTGTCCGAAAAGTAATGTTAGTGAGCCGATTTAAAAAAAAAATGTATAGATCAGATCGGTACAAGACATTAAAAAGTTTCAAAATAGGCTCCTCTTGCGTCGATACATTGCTTCCAGCGAGATTTCTAGGCATCGAAGGCCGCACGGTAGGCCTCCTCCGGAATGTCCTTTACAGCTTTGGTGCAAGCCGCTTTATCGTTGTCAACTGTCCCGCGATGATGTCCTTTCATGCGAGTTTTAAGGCGTGGAAACAAAGAAAAGTCTGGAGGAGCCACGTCAGAACTGTAGGGCGGCTGGGGAACCGTTGGCACTTTTGAATCGGCCAGGAAGTGGGTCACGAGGCAGGCGGTGTGGGCTGGCGCGTTGTCATAGTGAAGTTTCCAATCGTCCGCTACGTCGGGGCGGACGCGATGAACCCTTCGTTTCAGTCTCTTAAGCACTTCCACGTAGAATTTGGCATTGACGGTTGTACCATGCGGTACAAACTCATGGTGGACGAGCCTCCTAATGTCGAAGAACACAATGAGCATGGTCTTGACTTTTGACTTGCTCATTCTGACATTCTTGGGGCGAGGAGACGCCAAGGTGTGCCACTCGGCACTTTGCCTTTTTGTTTTGGGGTCGTATTCAAACACCCAAAACTCGTCACCTGTGATGACATTGTCTAAAAAATGGGGGTCACTTTCACACAAATCCCAAAGTTCCTGGCACGTTTCAACTCGGCGCGATTTTTGGTCGTCTGTTAACACTTCAGGCACCAGCGTCGCGCACACTTTTCGCATCTGAAAATTATTTGTCATAATCTCGTGAACGGTACTGTTTGGAATGTTTAATGCCTGTGCCACTAATCGAACAGTTAAACGGCGGTCTGAGTTTAAAAGTTCTCTCACATGCGTCACATTTTCGTCGATGGTGGTCGTTGATGGCTGTCCAGCGCGGGCTTCATCGTTAACCTCTTCACGGCCTTCTAAAAAGGCCTTGTGCTACCGGTAGACTTGACGTTCTGACAAACAATCATCACCAAAAGCGGTCCTTATCATAGGAAAAATTTCCACTGCGGACTTGCCGAGTTTTAAACAAAACTTGATGGCAATCCTTTGTTCCAACGAACGCTGCATTACGGTTTGCACGGGAGACGAAAATGCGTTTCACGGAAAAGTGTGTCCTTACTTTCCGGTTGGCCGGAGACAACCAAGCGACCGCGCGTTTGAAAGCTGACATCCTGCTCCACCGATCCCAACCGGTCCGAGCGCGCTGCGACGTATAATCGCTTCACAATTAAATCATTGACATTACTTCTCGGACAAACCCTGTACATACTCTATTGGACTAATAGCGCCATCTGACACGGTTAGCGGCAATTATATTTTTGCTCTAAACATGTGTGTTATCCACAGGACATACCAGTGTTCTCTTGCAATCGTTCGTAAAAGTATTTTCCCATCTGACTCTAATATTCGATTACCATAGCATTCCAAATTGTTCGAGCTAGGTCTTCAGCTCTTCATTTTCGATTCTAAGCCCTCAAAAAGCATAAAACATCAAAAACGTGCACGGAAGATGCCACGTTGGTTCTTGTCTATGCTAAAGAAACAAATTGTTTACAAAAGTGAAATTTTATGAGTTTTGGGACCTACCTTTACTGCTTCTTTATACGCGTAGTAAAATTTGAAATGAATCGGTACATGTAATTCGGGGAGTACTTTCACGAACGATTTGACCTTTCAACATATTTAAGCTGACCCTATTATAACACCTTAAGGGGACGTGAAAGTGGCGTCAAAGAAGACTCGTTCATGAAACTTTTCTCCAAACTGGGTGTACCGAATCTATTTAAATTTTACAATATAAATACGGGAGGTATAAGGGAGGTCCTAAAACTCATGAGATTTCAATTTTTTTAAATTTATTCATAGATATTTTTTAAATTTGTAATAAAGAATGAAATTTCATGTGTTTCAGGACCTTCCTTGTATCCTCCATGTTCATGTTGTAAAGTTTGAAACCATTCGGTACACCCAGTTCGTAGAAAAGTTTCATAAACGATTAAGCTTTCGAATGCAACTTTTACATCCCCTTACGGTGATGTAAAAGGTGACTTTGAATGATCAGTTGCGCTGATACACTTATTTTAAAAAATGGATGAACTGATTCGAGTTAAATTTGAATGTATGATTTTGGAGGTGCTGAGGCCGTTTTGATTTAAAAAAATACATTTTTCACGGAACATTGTTTTTATTGTACATAGATTAAAACCAAAATGGCGTCGTGACGCATATTGTTGCCAATATTAATTTTTGAAAGGCTCTGAAGTATCAATTCAGATGATCATAAATCATGCTGAATTATTCGAAAAGATGATGGTCGTAGAAAGTTATACATTTGAACTCGAAAAATGAAAAAGAAGTGTATCCACAAATTGGAGTTGTATGAAGTAGGTAATCCACTGCGCTATAAGCGTTCGTAGAGCAAAAAATGAATTGCCGTTAAGTACTACAAATAGCTTTGCATATAAATGGAATATAATAATTCGCGAATCCAGAAAATTTCTTGGCTGTTCATAATAATTTTATTGAAACGACATATGGACTATGTCATTTGGTGCAGTACGTCATAGATATCAATATAGATGTAAATGTCGGTAACATAGGATATAGGTAAATGATTCTGTCAGACAGTATATCACTTAGTTAATTCTTTTTTATCGACGTCGATTAAATTTTCCAGTACCGGTCACGTCACCTTAATCCTATCTCAAGAAAGTGCTAACAAATTCACGTTTTTCCAGAAATTAATTATTATATTAAATTCCGCGTGAATTTCATTTGTAGGGTCCGCTATCTCCTCAAACAACTGTGTACTCGTCAGCTTGTCTTGTGGAATCTACCCCTGGAGGCGTGGATGAAATGCAAGAACAAGTAACATCTCATTTGACACTACTACAAACAGTAAGCGTACTGTAGATATATAACATGACTAAAGTTGTGTAACTAAAATATTTCATTCTTATTTATTTTTGAAGACGCAGAACATGGAATGCACTCTTGACAGTCCAACGCCGGGAAATTCTGTAGGGCCAGAAACAATGAGCCCAAGCAAGGAAGGGACTAAAGTACGAACACAAAGACCAGGTTCTAGACTTCAAGAGTTGGAACAAGAATTGGCGAAAATACATCACAGAGGTCCTGTTATGTCCTCGTCTTCGCCACAGATATTAACACCACCTGTAACTGGAATCCATCCGATTCAGTTTCAAGGACAAGCACAAAATTTGCTTGCGACTGTTGTTACAATGTCTACGGTGCCAGTTGCTACCGTTACTCCTAGTATTAGTACTTCGAGATCCGGTGCCAGTACTCCTGTGCAGCTTGAATTTCAAGATAACGCAACAGAGGTATTTCAAAATGTTTTTAAAATTTAATAGTTACTATTTTCCGATGTGACGCATTTCATGGATTTCAATTGTACGCGCCCCAACCTGATATTTTAAATTGTTTCCTAAATTATTTTAAATGGTCAAAATTATATGAAAAGCGTCGAAAAATTTAATCCACACCGATAAAATAAAAATCATCTGTACCCATTTCGGCGTCCACCATGTGAATTCGACGTATCACCATGTGAAATCCTCAAATGATAAGTGGCTACACCATGTTATAGACATTTATATTTATGTTGGTGTTTGTTACACTCTACATTGAAGTACGGCATATGTAATTGAAGTAAATTTATCGTAAAGAAATAGAAGTGAACCTCAAGAAATCCCTTGAATTCAACATTTTTGAAACTCTAATCGGCCCACGGCACTATCTGTCATACTTAGCGGAAACTAAATTTTGACTCTATGAACACGTATAAAGCGCATGTTGCTCACAGGATATCCGAGAATTTTACTGCACACATAAATGTTTTTTCGATGTTTCCCACATGAACCTGTAGTTTTCTATTACTATAACGTTCTGAATTATTATGCCTATAATGTGTGAAGGTTGAGTAGCTCGAACTCTTGCGGCCGTACCCCGCAGTGCAGCGCCTGGGTTTCACAAGCGCGGCGCAAGTGAAGTGGTACGCGGCGATCCACGGCTCGCGTCTCCTGCAGACGCGTGAGCCTTACGGATAGGTTTATAAGATGCCGGAAAATAGGACACCGGCAGAGTCGTACGAAGGGAAGAAACTCGCCTACACATAGATTCTCAAACCGATTCGCAGAACGAGACTTCGAGGTCATTCGAGGGAATCACTATAGGCGCGATTTAACATGTCGGTCCTACCCCGTCGTGTCGTCTCTCCTGATCCGGAAGTTCGAACCGTAGGGCCAGTTGACCATAGGACCATTCGAGGAAATCACTATAGGCGCGATTTAACAACTCGGACCTGCCCCGTCGTGTTGCCTCTCCTGACCCAGGAGTTCGAACCATAGGACCAGTTAGATAATTATCGTTACCGTAGTTTATTAACACGTTAAGCGCGGAGCCGAGTTTTCTGAGCTTTCCGTTTAGGCGGCACAATTTTTTATATATAGAATTCTGTATGCCGTGTCTGTCCCCAGAGACTGACGCCGCGCTTAACGTATTAATCAGTATTTACTACAGATAATAGTCAATTAACTCTTTCATTACGGATTAACCGTTGTAGATTGTTATGTCTTTCAATATGTATTTTTCACATTACGATTAGGATAGCACGCTAGCAGACGTATCCGGTCTGCTTTCAATCTTTCGCTTACAGACCTTAATCGACTGAAATCAACCGATCTCTATCTATCAACGAAACACAGTAATAAACATTATTATTATTGTTACAAATCTATTGCATCTCTTCTCCACCCAGACATTACTTCTTGGGAACATTCTCACGGTCCGAGCGGGCTACTGTCGCTGGAAGAGACCCGAACGTAGACCGCGGCGCACGTGACGCCACCTAACCTGCGCGCTCCGATTTCTGTCGTTACAAAGTCTTCATTTTTAGGGGATTCTAGGCTTCTAAATGGCGAAAAATATCAAATATATGAGTTATTGTCTGAAGTAAACAAAAAATTCTTTTTCGATCAATTAAATTCCATGGGCATTACGTTCTTCTTTGGAACCTCCATAATTACATGCTAATGTTTCAAATAATTCGGTATACCCATTTCAGATAAAAGTTATATAAATATTTTGACAGTCCACAGACCACTTTCATTTCATCTGAAGTTCTCCGAACAGGGTGTACCGAATCAATTGGAACTTTACTGCGTTATTATGGAGGTCCAAAAACAGGGTCTGCAATTCATTAACTTTCGTTTTTCAATAAAAACTTATTTATTTATCCCACCCTAGAACAAAAAAAGACTTCGTCAACACATTTTTTATATTTTACGCCATTTGAACGCTTAGATTCGAAAGCGAAGAATTTCAGGGCGTAGTCCTGATTGAATTGAAAAAAACTGTAGTAATCGGACATTACAGATTCATGTGGAAATTATCAAGAACATATTTCTAAATGTCGTAGTGGAATTCTTAGATATTTAGTTATCAGCATGGGCTGTGTAAGTGTTTTTAAAGCAGAAATATAGTTGCCGCTAAATGTGATAGATGGCGGCGTAGGGGGACTAGAATATCATAAGTTATGGATACAAAGGATTTCTTGATTTGTACTTCGATCTCTTTATGATCATTCGTACAAATACAAATGTCGGCAACGTGACGCACCTCCTTATGATATTACTCGGGTATCCAAAATGGTGGTATCGCTGAAGTTTCAAATGATTTGGCGCACTCAATTCAAAGAAACGTTTTTAACATTTCTTGACACTTCAGAGATCACTTTTATTTCACGTATTTTTAATTCTTACTGTAAGTATGTAAGATGCATCGCCTTTAAGCATTACTTTTTGGTAAATGAGACGTTATTTTGTAAAAAATTAATCTAAGACCTGAATGCTTCAGTGAATATCACCAGTGATCTGATGAATTTCATTGAAACTTTCAATCAGGAAGTTTCAAAGTTTCGCACCAAGTGCATTAAAAAACTTGTGCGAGAGGCACCGAATACTTAACGCCAATGTTCGGCACTTCAATTTCATAAATATTAATTTCTCAATTAAAAGAACTCATCATGAAACCAATTTTGGCATAATGATACTACGTTCCGTTTTGAAGAGCCTGCAATTTTTTCAGACTTTTTAGAGCCATCCGCTAAACGCAACGCCAATTTAGAAATATTCAATGTCCCGCAGATGCTTCCTGTAGTCGATGTCTTGACGGCCCTGGTGTCGTGTTTAGGGTCGTCCCTCGGAGGTCGAGCGCCGCGCGCGTCGAGCCGGGCCGTCGCGCTTACCGCTAGCGTTACTGCGCGAGACCTTGAAACGTCCAAGTTTTCGCTCTTGGTGACCAAATTAAAATTCGGCACTTACGTTGTCTCACAGGGCTTAAGGCCCAAGGGATGATAAAATAAATGGAACGGTCGGTTCATATATTTCTCCAGGTACGCCACTGAAGAGAGAGAGGAGTTAGTCGAATCCGACGTTCCCGATAAAATAATTTAAATGCCACTTTTCGGCAGAAGAGAAGGCAAGGTACTTCGGGGACGACTAATTCCCCTTTTATATTAACTATCGAAAAGATGTTACTAAAAGAAGGGGTTTTCAGCCTATATCCCATCGACGCTTTCACGAGTTCACGGGCAGTGTGTATTATAAAGAACATGCCTAAAGACAAAAGAAAAGAGATATAAGGGACATCAAATATAATTGGACCAGCGGCCCCCACCGTCCCCGACCCCTCCAGTCACCGCCGCCCGGACCCCTGGTTCCTTGTGGCCGGTGTAGAAGGGAAAAGAATAGTACCGTTTTGTGACGGCATTTCCCCCACAGAAATGCCACGTCACAATATATATATTGTGATGTGGTGGATTTTGGCCCACCAGTCACATTACCTTCGGATGGCCGTTTAGCCCCTTTTCAATATGTGGAGGCACGTTCTGGTCCGGCGGTCCCCGATTTGCAGAGAACCTAGCGCCGACTATATATTAATTTAGCCAATTTTAAACCCTTTTACAGGTTTTGCTTTGCGACTGCAGAAACCGAGATATTTTTCCTTGCGGATTCTCCAGAGGCGCCACTCGGGATACGCCTTTTCGCATTTTCTTGTGCATTTTTTTCTATTGGAAGAGCATAATTTTGTGATCTCAAATACTGCCCGGAATATTCGAGGAACATTATGACGAATTTTCGAGAACGTATAGCCTACGTAGAGTCGGATAGCAAGAGGAACGACGACAGCGTCGACCTCGCAGAGGTCGCGGCTACGTCGTCACTCGCTGCTCTGAAAGCCGCCTCGAGGGTGGAGGCCGGCGGCTACGCAGGGGCGTTTCAGTACGAAGAGGAAGGACTGCGACGTCGGGGCCCATGAGGGGAGCCGGCCGACCCCGTCTTCGCCACCCCAGCAGCCCTGCCTGCGGGGCGGGCCCATAGTTAGTCCTGGCGGCTAGATGTGGGCCACCCGCAGGAACGACAGGACTACCCAAACAAGAGCCAGGTCGGGGAATGGGGCCTGGCAATTTTTCCCGGTCCCGATCGGCATGGCGGCGGACGGATGCCGCGTCCTGGGAAAACCCGCTCGCGGCCAAGTTACGGCGACAGGGAGCGGGCAAAAAGATACGGGTCCTTAATTGCCCGGGAAGCCTGACTTTCGGGCCAGGAGCCTGACCGGTCGCCGCCGAGAGACCCGGGCTTGCTGAGGTCTGCCCGGGTGGACCCTCCGAGTAAATTTCAGGTGGCCGCTCAGGGAGAAAGAGCGGCACGCCAAGGAGCCGGACGGGCCTGACCCTTGAGGAGCGCGTACCGCACGAGAGGCGCGCGCGACCGCCCCTGCCGCCACTAGCCCCACTCCGCACGCGCCATCGATCAAGCGCCACGAAGATTTCGAAAACTTGAGCAACAGCGGAGCGCCTGAGTCAATCAGAGACCGGAATTAAGGATCCCGGAGTGATCGCCCGAAATCCTACATCTGGGCGGACTCCAGGAGCGCCGGCCATCTTCGCCCACGTACCGGCGGATCGGACGCATCAACGGCCAAGTTTTCCTGCGGTCTCTGGTTCCTGGATCTTTTCTGTGCTACCTGACTGCCTGAACCTGAAGCCGACGTCGGAGCCCAGGAGTTGTTTTGTGAGTTTGCGGGGAGCCCTTTTGAGAAATATGGAGAGAATGAGGTCAATTTTCTAAATAGAGTATATTACCGAAGAATGATAATTATCTGAATTTCCTTTTTCTCTGCGTAATTTTGGGGAAATTAGTAGCCCGGGTTAATAAGCGGCTTTCGTTCGCGCCCGGTGAAGAGTTTTCTTTTGTGTAAGTCTCGTGCCGGCGACAGGACTGGGAGTCGCGGCGGCCTTTCCGCGTCCCGAGCAGGCGAG